CCCCCGTTTGTTTACAACTTTTGTTTCTTACCTTGTGTATTTTTATTATACCGAATAGGGCCATTCTTTAAACGTGAGAAAAAGTACAATCTGCTTGCATATAACAACATATAGATGTGTTCGACGGGGAAATTTTATATTTTCGAGGTATTATACACTCTTACATTTTTTTTCATTTAAAAAAAAGGGGGGGGGGGTTGTCGATCCATACTTCAGGTGCCTGTGGAAAAACTGTAGAGCTTCTTTATAACTTTATTAGACCGAAATTGAAAGATTATATTCTAAAGACACTGCTCCATGCTCACATTTAATATTGGAGTTGTTTTAGATGATTAACAGTTGCTTCAAATATCATACAAACGCTTTGACTTTTGCATATACATAAAACACTTTCTGATAATATTGAGAGGTTAAATAATAATTGCACACTTTCTCCTGCTGTATAAAAACAAGGACCTATATACTACCTGCGAAAGCTATGTACACGTATATCACGTGAATAAAACTCAATGTTTTATCGACACGATAGCACTTATACGTCTCTTTGAACAAAGGTATACTAGGCCGATGTATTACAAGTTGATATAAGGCTTCATAAAGCAAATTTTGTAAATGTGAGCATAAAAATGAAAGATTATGCATCATTTTAAATATTTCTTTCACAAATTTCATAAAAGAATTGAAAATAAATTTCCAAGGGACAATTCAAGTTGCCTTTAATTTTCAACACAGCTAGGTACTTGTAGTAGCCCACAATGCATTGCGGCTAATTCAGCAGTAGGTAAAGTAAACATATTAGCTAATTTACATGCAAATTTATTCTGACTCAGAAAATCTAGTGGTCTCGACCTGTTAAAGTATTTATTCCCTGTAGTTTAAGCTTTGTTTGGCTTTTAGAATAGGATCCTATAATTGTCTCCCGCTTTCGCGAAAGTGAGGGGACATTAAATCTCATTCGTCTGTCCGTCTGTCAATCCGTCACAAAAACTTTAACCTTGCCCATAACTTTTGATTTAGTGGCTATGACTTTCATATTTCACATGTGTATTTCTTGTGATAAGACCTTTCTTTGGGTACCACCAAAATTGACCTTTTGACCTTGACCTTGGAGTTTGACCCACTTTAACACAAAAATTCCAAACTCTTGACTTTGGCCATAACTTCCGAATGGTAGATATTAGGACTTTTATATTATACATATATTTTCTTTCTGACAAGACCTTTTATTGGATACCAACAATTTTGACCTTTTGACCTTGACCTTGGAGATTTCGGCACTTATGAAAAAACTTTAACCTTCACCATAACTTTGGAACGGTAAGGGCTAGGGCTTTCATACTTCACATATGTAATCTTTGTGAGAAGGCTTTTCATTAGATACCAAGAATTTTAACCCTTTGGCCTTGACCTTGGAGTTCAGTTATAATTTCTAAATAAATTACATAATTATGATAAGGTGTTCATATTACACACAATATGTCATATAAAAATGACATCTCACCCACAAAGACACCGAAAGCGGGGGACCACAATTCCTTGAATTTACTTGTTAATCAGATATTAAACTTTTTTTGATACTTTATTTACCTTTTAACGGTCCGAAACAGTCCTGTTTATAGTTTTGTAATGTTGGTTTAAAAGAGTTTCATTTCGACGTCCTTTACCACAAACAGCCATTTGTTAGCCTTAAAAGTAAGTTAAGTAAATTATCAGGAATTGAAGTTAAATGTATGATTAATTATAAAATACCATATTTAAAACTGGGGAAAGTATAAAATACAAGAAAAAAAACCACCCGAAGTTAGCGACAAATAATCGTCGGCGTAAATCGAAGATTTTTACAACGCTTGGATCTGCAGCTTTCTGCTTTATCTCTCCGAATTTTCTCAAGCAGAGAGCTTCAGATCTGCAGCTAAGATTTGGTCTTGGAAGAGAAATGCAAAATTTTCCCTCTTTTTAGCTCACCCGAGCAAAAGAGCTCAAGTGGGCTTTTCTGTCTGTAGTCTGTCTGTTTATCTGTCTGTGAACTTTTTACAATTTTACCACTCTGCGAGAACCACTTGGCAAATTTTAACCAAACTTGCTACAAATCATTCTTTGGAGACGGGAATTTAAGTTTGTACAAAGGAAGGGCCACCCCCCCCCCTCATTCAAGAGGAGATATAATTAAGTAATAGTGAAAATTTGGTGTCATGTTTTAAAAATCGTCATCTCAAGAACCTAGCGCTGCAGTGTGCCAGGACGTACAGATGAAACGTATAAGGAAACATTCTCAGATAGTGTAGATTCAAGATTAGTGTTTGTTCAAATCATGACGCCTGGGGTAGGGTGGAGCCACACTGGACAATCAAATTTTAACATAGGAATATATACCAGAAACAAACTGCAAAACTTTTCTTCTCAAGAACAGCAATGTAATGTTTGGTCATATTTATGTGAACGCATTCTGAGGTAGTGTAGATTCAATTTTAAACAAAGCATGACCCTTTGGGGTGGGGCAAGGCCACAAGGGACGATTAAAGTTGCCTCTCAAGAACAGCAAAGCCATGATTGGTCATATTTATATAGCATCCTCATGTAGATTAGATTCCAATCAGATCATCTGTCCACTCCTTTATTTTTTATTTTCTTTACCTTATGCAAGGACCCGAGCTCTAAATCTGTCTTGTATCTGGACAACTGGCGTTCAAATTTTTGATGATCATTAGAAAGACCCTAGTTAGATATTTGTAAAAATGGAAAAATATTTTTTTTTTAAATTTAATCTGAAACTGTGTCTTTGCCCCTTTAAGGTCATTTGTGTCTGGTCAATATCTTTAGTATTGATTTTGAGCTCATCTGAGCCAAAGGTTCAATTGAGTTTTCTGATCACATTTTGTCCGTCGTCTGTCCGTCAGTCTAGCTGTTCGTCTATCTTTCCGTCCGTCCGTTCGTTCATCTATAAACTTTCAGTTTTTCTGTTTCTTCTTAAGAACCACAGGGCCAATTTTATCCAAACTTGGTACAAAGCATCCTTGGATGATGGGGAGTTTAAATTGTTAAATGAAAGATCAAATCCTCTCAAAATGAGAGATAATCAAGAAAGACAAAAATAGGCCTAGGGTGGGGTCACTTGAAAATCTTCTCAATAACTACTTTGCCAGAAAAGCTGAAATTTATGCGAAAGCATCATGGGATAGTGTATATTCTAGGTTTGATTCATGATCCAAATCATGACCCCTGGGGGTAGGGCGGGACCACAAGAAGGAACCCAAGTTATACATTAAAATATTTAGGAAAAATCATCTTCTAGGGAACTAATGGGGCAGAAAAACTGAAACATATACGATAGCATCGTGAGGTAGTGTACATTTTAAATTGTCAAAATTTAACCAATGAGGTAGGGTGGGGTCACAACCGGCATATCAAAGGGGAAATCTGGTGAAGAACAGCATGGTCAAGGCCATTCAGGTGAGCGATGTGGCCCATGGGCCTCTTGGTTTTTTTTAAGGCTGCACCTTAGTTTCATTTTTTAAAAATATAATGAGCACTTATATTTTCACTATATGTTCCAACAAATTGTGAACACCTCGTAGTTTCATAAAATATTTGTGATTTGGCTGCATGCCCTTCTCTGAAAAACCAAGCAGGGAGTATTTGTCCCTATTAGACAGTTCTAGTTTTCTCATGAGTAGAAAAGCAATCATGATTGGTCATATTTATGTGAACGCATCTTTAAGTGGTGTAAATTCAAGTTTGTTCAAGTTATGACCCCCAGGGCTAAGGTGGAGCCACAGTTTGACATAAGAGTATATAGGAAAATTCTTCTTCTCAAGAACAGCAAAGCCATGATAGCCAAAAGAACTTCATTAGTTTCAATTTTGTTCAAATCATTCACTTACCGTCCATTTTAGGGGTAGGTCTGGATTTAAGATTTTCAATACTTAACTGCTGATTTTTGTTTTACTTTTGTTTCACTTGAGATCTCAAGTGAGCTTTTTTGATTACCTTTTGTCTGTCGTCCTTCCATCTGTCCGTCCGTCTGTGTGTCCGTCGGTCCTTCTGTAAACTGGTACAAAGCATAATTGAGTAAATTGGTGTTTAGATTGTTAAAATGAAGGTACAAGTCCCCTTCCAAAGGAGATCAATAATCAAGAAAAGACAAAAAAGGTGGGTCATTAAAAAAGAACCCTTATGTCAGAAAAACTGAAACTTGATCAAATCATGACGCCTTTGGAGTAGGGCGGGGCCTCAAACTCTTCTCAAGAAAAACTGGACCAGAACAGCTGAAACTTATGTAGAAGCATCCTGGGGTAGTGAACATTTTAATATTGTTCTAATAATGACCCCCAGAGGTTAGGCGGGGCGACAATAGGGAATCCAAGTTTAACATTGAATTTTTAAGGAAAAAAATCTTCTATAAAATTTAAGAACTATTGGGCCAGAAAATTTTTAACTTATGTGGAAGCATCTTGGGGAAGTGTAGATTCTAAATTGTTCAAATCATGACCTGTGGGGGTAGGGTGGGGCCTCAATAGAATCCAAGCTTTACATTGAAACATTGGTGGTGTTGAAATCAAAATTTTCTTTTTGTGAACCATGGGGTCAGAAAAGCTGACTTGTGTGGAAGCATCCTGGGATTTTGTACTGTAAATCATTCTATTTTTGCGACGCTTTATTTTCGCGAGCTATAAGGTAATTATAAGCAAGAAAAACCTTTCGCGAGTTACAGATTTTGTTGTATATAATCCCTACAAATACGTATTTACGCAAGAATTATTTTTTTCGAGCAGACAGATGCGTAATAATGCAACAATAAAGTTCTCTCGTGAATAAATAAGGGATTTATTTAGAGTATATTTTAATTTGTCCAAATTATGAATCCTTGGGGTCAGAGTATTAATAGGTATTACAAGGGGAGAAATTTGATAAAGAACAGCATGGCCAATGCTACTCAGGTGAGCAATGTGGCCCATGGGCCTCTTGTTTTTCTTACCACAGTGCTCAGGTGATCCCCTAGGCATCTTTTCAATATTAGAACCATTTTCTCTTGCAGCTTCACGAATGATTTTTGCTACAGGAGAGGTTAAACTAATCGGTAAAACAAAGATTGTGTCAGTAAAATGTCACTTCAATCCAGAAAGTAGCCTGGCTGCTCGCGTAGTTGATTATACTTCATATTTCATTGTATGGTGGAGTGCCAAACATATGCCTAGTGATAAACCTACATGGCCTAAACCATCTGATGGTTTCAAAATGATTGGAGGTAAGGATATCATCATTTTTAGCTCAGAATCTTCTGGTCAGAGACCAGAGGCGCTTATGCAGTAGTAAGATAATTGTCATCTGTCTGTACGTCCATCTGTAAACTTTTCAGATTTTAAATTCTTCTCAAGAACCACTCGGCCAGAAAAGCTGAAACTTTTTAGGAAGCATCCTGTGGTAGTGTAAGTTATAAATCATTCAAATCATGAATCCCAGAGGTAGGGTGGGCCACGATAAAGAATCCAATTTTAAATTAAAATACAGAGGATTATTCTTTTAAAATCTTCTTTTTTTAAATTACCACTGGGCCAGAAAAGCTAACCCTAGCATACCTCTGAAGAATCTAAATTGTTCAAATCATGACCCCACAGGAGAAGGGTGGAACCACAATAGCGAATCCAAGTTTTTAGCCAAAAGACCAGAGACCAGAAGAGCTTATGCCATAGTAAGGTGTCCGCCGTCCGTCTGTCTGTCAGTCTGTCTGTCTAACTGTCTCCGTCTGACCGTCTGTATGTAAACATTTTTAGCTCACCTGAGCCAAAGGCTCAAGTGAGCTTTTCTGATCACATTGTGTCCGTCGTCCGTCCGTCCGTCCGTCCGTCCGTAAACTTATCACATTTTCGACTTCTTCTCAAGAACCACTGGGCCAATTTTGACCAAACTTGGTACAAAGCATCCTTGGGTGAAGGAAAATTTAAATTGTTAAAATGAAGGGCCAAATCCCTTAACAAGGGGAGATAATCAAGAAAAGACAAAATAGGGTGGGTTCATTAAAAAATCTTCTTCTCAAGAATCACTGGGCCAGAAAAGCTGAAACTTATGTGGAAGCATCCTGGGGTAGTGTAGATTCTAAATTGTTCAAATCATGACCCCCCCCGGGATTGGGTAGGGCCACAATAGGAAATCAAAGATTTACATAGAAATATATACGAAAAATCTTTAAAAATATTCTTCTTAAGAACCACTGGGCCAGAAAAGCTGAAACTTATGTGGAAGCATCCTGGGGTAGTGTAGATTCTAAATTTTACAAACCATGACCCCCGGGGGTAGGGCGGGGCCACTATGGGAAATCAAAGTTTTACATAGAAATATATAGGAAAAATCTTTGAAAATCTTCTTCTTAATAACCACTGGGCCAGAAAAGCTGAAACTTATGTGGAAGCATCCTGGGGTAGTGTAGATTCTAAATTGTTCAAATCATGACCCCCGGGGGTAGGGCGGGGCCACAATGGGGAATCCAAGTTTTACAGAGAAATATTTAGGAAAAAATTTAAAAATCTTCTTCTCAAGAACCACTGGGCCAGAAAAGCTGAAACTTATGTGGAAGCATCCTGGGGTAGTGTGGATTCTAAATTGTACAAATCATGACCCCAGAGGGGTTGGGCGGGGCCACAATGGGGAATCAAAGTTTTACATAGAAATGTATAGGAAAAATCTTTGAAAATCTTCTTCTTAATAACCACTGGGCCAGAAAAGCTGAAGCTTATGTGGAAGCATCCTGGGGAAGTGTAGATTCTAAATTGCTCAAATCATGACCGGGGGGGGGGGGGGTTAAGGCGGGGCCACAATGGGGAATCAAAGTTTTACATAGAAATATATTGGACAATATTTGAGCAGCTGAAACTTATGTGGAAGCATCCTGGGGTAGTGTAGATTTCAAATTGTCTAAATTATGATCAGTGGGGTAGGGTGGGGTCACAATGTGTATTACAACGGGGAAATCTAGTAAAGAACAAAATGGTCAAAGCTAATCTCAGGTGAGCAATGTGGCCCATGGGCCTCTTGTTTTTTTTTTTTTTAAATTCTTCTCCTCCTCTAGTTTTTGACTGATTTCAATATTTACTTGACACACAAGTAGACTACATTAATGTACATAATTTAATGCATCGGTTTTTGATTTTGAACAATGTTTCTTTGGTTACTACAAATAGAAATTTCTGTGAAATTCCTTTAAAACGTTTCTCCTCCTACAGTTTTGGTCTGATTTCAATAAAACTTAGCACACGAGTAGACTAAACAAAGATACATAATTTAGTGCATCGGTTTTTGATTTCGATGAACGATATTGCCATGGCTACTAAAAATAGAAATTTCTGTGAAATTCCTTTAGAACGCTACTCCTCCTACAGTTTTGGACTGATTTCAATATAACTTGGCACACAAGCAGACTACACTAAGATGCATTCTTTAGTGCATCTGTTTTTTATTTGAAGAACGATGTTGCCATGGTTACTAATAATAGAAATTTCTGTGAAATTCCTTAAAAACGCTACTCCTTCTACATTTTGGCTTCAATATAAGGCAAAAAAGTAGACTACCCTAAGATACATTGTTCTATTTGTTGCTGTCTGTTGCAAAGTTTCAAATCCAAGTGCTACTTCTCCTTTGTTATCAATACTGACCATCAGAGCTACAGTCTCGCCAGAGACCTCTGGCCATTGTAAATATAGTAAAATAATGCAAAAAAAACCCTGTAAAAATCTTCTTCTCAAGAACCACTTGGCCAGAGAAGCTGATTTTTTTTGTGGAAGCATCCTGGGGTAGTATAGAGTCTCAATTATTCAAATCATTACTCCCACGGGCAGGATGGGGGCTTCAATAGTAAATCAAAGTTTACATTGAAATATATTGGAACATGTCTCTACTAACAGCCCTGATCTTTTGATCAATGTATTAAATTAGTTTATTTTTCTGTTTTGCAGGTGCAGGGCATTTGGATTATGCTAAAATGGGTTTAACTAACATAAGATGGCAACCAAGGAGAGATCTTATAAAAGAAGTTAAGCCTCATATATTGTGTGCTGCAGAAAATCAGGGCGGAGACCATCGGTTAGAAAAAACACGTAAATGTGAGTGAACATTTTAAAGTCATTTATTTATTTGTATAAATACTAGAACAACTGTTAAAAAATAAATGCCAAAAGAAATAACAAGGCATTTTTCTAAACTTTAGAGCAAAAGTTTGTAAATGCAGGGTGAATTTTTTTATTTAGCTCACCTGAGCCAAAGGCTCAAATGGGCTTTTCTGATAAAAAATTGTCCTTTGTCTGTCGTTGTTGTCGTCGTCGCCGTCATTGTGTAAACTTTTCACATTTTCATCCTCTCAAGAACCACGGGGCCAATTTCAACCAAAATTGCCATAACGTATTCTTAGATGAAGGGGATTCAGGTTTATTCAAATGAAGGGTCATGCCGTCTCTTTTAAAGGGAGATAATTATGTAACACGCATAATTTAATTTGTGATAGCTTATAATATAATATGAAAAGTAATAAAATCTAACATCAATGATTATTGTGAAAATTACATTTACAGTTTGCAATGCAATTGCACAAAAAATAAATTTCATTGTATTCAGGCATTTGTATAAATTGTTATTATGCCTTAAATATTATATATGCCAATATTATATATACCAATAAGCATGACCTTATTCATGGATAAAACATACCCTAAGTAAAGGAGTAATCAAAAACCCATGGATCGTGATCCGTCACATCTATGTTATTAACCTAATATGATAATAAAACAGACCTTAAATGCATATTCTATATCTCTGATCATTATATTCTAAACTAAGTGTAAAAATAACATACTTCGAAAACTAAAACTATTTTTTTTATCAAGACTACACTATTGTTTTACTATTCAATAATATGTGATATTTAACAGAGATAATAAATTTGATCAATAATGTCTTTTGTAAGAAACAATTTGATACAAATGAAACAAATGGAAAGTAATAGTAAAGAAATCATCGAACAAATATGGTGCAAGAGCCATAAGCACATTAGGCGCACAACTGTGGAACAACCTGCCTTTAGAACTACGAGAGCTTGAAGCACATGGAGCATTCCGCAAGAACCTAAAAACACTCTTGTTCAAGCGTGAATATAACCTATGAATGTAAAATTCCAGCATAACATCTAGGACTCCATGTGTTACCTCTCATAAATTTAACTTCAGAAGTACTTTCCTGTGTACATAACAGTTTTATTTTCATTTTATTTTACCTTGTCTACGTTAAACAATTTCATCTTACTACCATGTTTTATTTAAGGTCCTTTTTGTTTTATCGATTATTTACTTTCCATAACAGATTTATAGATTTTATTGATAATTGCTATTAAATGTTAGCAAAACTATTGTACAGCGCATAGAAACTATATGTGATTTTGCGCTTTATAAATTAATAAAATAATAATAATAATAATATGTAAACAATTCATCTTGATCATTAAATATTTTCATTTCCAATGTCTTTGTACGAGATAAAATTACCAATGTAAATTTACTTTATTTCCCCATCAATGTTTTGGCGCGGTTCCAAAAAAAACCACGTGCAGGGCGGGACAAACAGCTAGACAGAAGCAGGGCTTAGAGCACGTGGATTGGCGGAATCCAAGCATGTAAATATAAGGAATAACTGTCAGATTTTTCAATTTCATGAAGATGATCATTCGATTGGCTTGCGTGATAATTTTATGCATAAACGCAAGCCAATCGATTGATCACTTCATGAATTCGAAAAATAAGACAGTTATTCCTTAAATATACAGAATAAACTCAATTTACAGTAAATCATACATAATTTTACAGGATACTGAATAGACAAATACTTACATGACTTGATATAGCCTCTATGAAGATAAACTGTTTGTAATTTATTTAAAATTTAAAATGCTTCTAAGTAGCAGCGATTTCGATCGCAATATGGCTTGTCTTCTTATGAAAAATCGACGATTCAAACAAAGGAAACATGATTATTTATTTTATCATTTTCCTTTATTGAGATGGACATTTAAAACACGGTTCAAATACAACCACGGCAACATTTTTTTTTACCAAAAATTATTTCATATAATAATCTTTATATATAAAATACATTAAAACTATTTTACCATATCACATATTTCCCCCGTTTGTCATTGCTGTCCACAGCAATGTTAATGATGTGTAAACAATACACATAAATTTTCATGAATAGAACTATCATAATAGAACATCAACATCATGATACACTTTTAAAATTTTAAAAGCATAATTTAAAATGATCACAACCAATGTCTAATGTTTATAATGAGACCACGCTTTGCTAAGTGTTTTTCCTTGAGTGGCCCCAAAATTTGCAACAGCCTGACATAGTTCTTGAAAGTTACTTTCACTTTTCACAGCTCTCTGTGTTCGTACTGTTTAACGAGATAATTGATATGGGTTTGAAATTAACGGAGTTTCTTCTTGTACGGGAACTTCTTGCGACGAATGATGATGATTATCTCCGTTGTCTTGATGCACATCCTCTGTCCAAAAATCTAATACTGCATGAAAGCTTTCGTCACTTTTTACAGAATCTGAATCAGAAATTGAGGTTTCAAGTTCTGAATCACTCAACACTAATTCAACTGTATCCAAGACTTCTCTACGAGTCACATTTTTCGTTAGACCGGTACCATCTTCTAGTTGTACAGCATATACGTTATCCCCTAAATCCTGTTTAACTTAACAAAGTGTAGAATACCAGAAATCTTTTATCTTGTTTCTGCGGAATTCTGTTCCGCATTAAAATACGGGCACTAATTGAAAGGGGACTTTCTTTGGCATCTGTTGTAGAGTTCCGTCCTTTCATCCAAATTTTGTTTATCATTTTCCATCGCTTATCGAGGCCTTTTTCTCTGTTGTACAAAGTATTAGTCTGTTGAAGAAATTTTGGTCGCTGGAAGTCCGAGAAGATGATCGATAGGTAAGGTCGGATCTCGTCCAAACATAAGAAAATACGGTGTATACCCGGTAGAAGAATGAATTTTCGGGAAGATGTTCAGGGCATTTTCGTTTCTGCTGAAGAGATAATGTTCTTAAAATATTGTGCATTGTACGATTATATCGTTTTACCTGGCCGTTTCCCTCAGAATGATACGGAGTTGTTCTACTTTTGGAGATGTAATACATTTTACAAAGTTCTTTCACAACTTCACTCTCGAAATTCCTCCCTTGGTCGCTATGAATCCTTTTAGGAATTCAAAAATGAACAAACCACTCTTTCACTAACACTTTGCCACTGTAACTGCCTTTTGATGTCTTGTTGGTACTGCTTATGTATATTTACTGAATATGTCAGTCATCACTAATACATTTTCTCGCCCATTGCTCGCTGGTTCAAGAACTGTAAAATCAATTGCTAGAATCTCGCGATTGGTACGCTAAAAGATTCCCTAAAGGTAGTCGCACAGTGGAAACCGTTGCTTTGGCTGCCATGCAACGCTCACATATTTTGCAGTATTGTTCTACATCGCGTTGTTGGCGATTCAGCATTTCATTTTAATTAATGACAAAATTCTTTCTATGCCTTGATGTCCAACATGATTGTTTAATGTTATTGTGTAATGACTTTAATACATGGTCTTTTAAAGAGATTGGCAAAAAAAATTGTATAATAGGACCTGTATAACTCTCAATGTTTCTGTTTAGAATCTTGTTTTCAAACTGCACACCTCTTCTTACACAAATTTTGATGGTAAAAAATCTGGCATTTATGTTTCGTAATTTTTGTATATTTTTCTTTAAATAATGCAAAAAATTTCATAATTTGATATCTTCCAAAAACCCCAACTTCGCAGTCTGTAGGTAACTCAGCGGATTATTATCCGTGTACGGTAAACAATGAACTTTTCTCCAAGCAGGTAATTACGGAATTTCTCCTTAACTGCCCATTTTAGTGTAAATAGTTCTAATTTCATGGAACTGTAATTTTCCATATGACGTTCCGTTGGCCTCAATGTTGCATATGCTATAACTACGTGTCATTGATCTTGTTCTTGTGAAAGCGCTGCACCAAGTTCATCAAAACTCGCATCAGTCTCCAAAATGAAAGTTTTCTTAAATTCAGGATATCCTAAAACTGGAGAAGATACAAATCTTCTTTTTAACTTTTAGAATACAGAATCACATTCTTTACTCTAAAGTTCTAAAAATAGTTTGTTTGGAAATTCCTTTTTTTCTTCTTGTTATCTGTGGTTACAGTTACACCATGTAAATGTTTTGTAATTTTAGAAAAATCCTTCACTAATCGTCTGTAATAACCGGCTTAACCTACGAACGATCGCAAGAGCATGTTCTACATATGAACAATTTCTAAAACGAGGTAAATTATTGACAAGCAAGTTGACGAAACAAGAATATCAGCAGTCTTGTTTAAAGTCATCATTTCGTAAGTTTTATGGTCGACCTTGTCAGCAAATACAGTTTATCATTGAGTCAAATGCTGACTGACGTTTTTCATACCAATTGTTAGTCTATTATTTATACCGCAGTCTTTTCGGGATCTGTAGAAACTCCTTCGTCTGAAACGATATGCTTTTAGTTTTTACAGATGTACTGAAGAAATTATATTTTGATGGTTTTATTTCAAGACCATGGCTTTTTAACTTAGAGAAAACAATGTATAGTCGTTGTATGTGTTCTTCGCTGGTTTTCGAAAATACTAATGTATCATCCAGATATAAAAGTAAGATGTCAAAGTTTTCATCTGTGAAACAAGCCTCCATAAGTCTTTGAAATGTAGCGGCGGGGCTGTTACATAGGCCGAAAGACATCCTGAGTTATTCATACAATCCCCCGGTTCCAACTCTTAAAGCTGTTTTCTAAGTTGAGTTCTCATTCATGGTAACTTGATGGTATCCTCGGGCTTGAACTGAAGTATTTCGCTCCATGTAAGACGTCTAATGTTTTCCATTCTGGGTAACGGATACGCATCTTTTATAGTTTTTTTTTTAAAATCAGTTCGCGATAATCTACACATAAACGAAGACTTGTCACTATCATGATGGCGGATGCAAAGGGACTAATTGCTCTTT